ACTAAGCTCTTTCAGAACTTTTTGTTGTCAAAGTTCTTACTTCAATCTTACAAATTAAGCTCTCTGCAAGGCACCTTTTAGTGTGAGGCTGTGAGCAAAGGCATATTTAGCCCATGTCTAGGTATATACCACCATACCACTTGAGGATGTCTTTCGAAAAAATAGACAACTCAAATGGAAGTGGACAGGTCACATCACAAGAGACAAAATAGGCAAGTGGACAAGGAAGACCACGGAATGGAACCCCAGTACAAACACTTACCGTAAACGTGAATGACAGCTGAAAAGATAGTCAGATGAAATAAGAAGGGTAGCTGGACCGCTATGGCTGAGGTTAGCAAGGGATAGATCAAAGGAGGAAAAGGCTGGAGGAGGCCTATGAGTCTACACGCTGAAGGACACGCAGAATTATAAGTAAAAATGTTAATGATGTGATTTTTATGTAATTATCAGCAATAAAGGCTTTTGTATTTTGTATTAGGTATACCATACAGCCAAACCTGAACAGAATGGTGTGTAATGCACCAAATAAAAAAATATATAAGTTATAGTTTAAAACATCAACAATAGTAAGCTTTGCATAGTTCTATAATGCAAAGAGATGACGCTGTCTTGCAGCTTAAGAATGGCTAGAGGAATTTCGACGAGGTCCGTGAGGGCCGCGGTAGCATAATTGGTGCATTCGCCCGGATTGCGAAGGGTACGGGTTCGAGTCCCGTCTGCTGCCTTGATCAGCATGGAATTTTTTCTAGTTATATTTTCTTTAGATTTAATGCCTTAAAATAATAAAAATTATAATTCTATGTACTTATTTAAACTTTGATTCAGAGGCCCAAGCATGAATTTTGACAGCTCCATAATTGTATTGTATGATTATATATTTATTTTTTAAGTATTTAGCTGTTAGATTTAAATCTAAAGAAAAGAAATTCATTTGGCATTGTGGGTTACCTACAATGCAAAGAGGTGGTGTTGCCTTGCAGCCCAAAAATACTAGGAAAATTCAATAAGGACATCAGTGCCGCGGTCAGTGCCGTCTTTGACCTATTGGTGGCCCTGGGCATATTAGGATAATGGGGCCCCTATGACTTATGTTTGGTGATTTAACAGTAACTAGGGACTTTGTATTTGATCTGAGGGGGCCCCCTATCTAACGCGGGGCCCTGGGCACTTGCCCAAAGTGCCCACTGGGAAAGACTGGTCTGGCCGCGGTAGCATAATGGTCAGTGCATCCCCCGGATAGCAGAGGATATGGGTTTTAGTCCCATCTGCTACCTGGGGGCCAATCGCCTAACTGGATTGCTTTGGAAAACGCTATCGCTTACGATTTCATTTTGTTATTTCTAGCCCCCTGAGGTTTTCAAATGCCTCGCACTCTTTTTTTTTTCTTTTGCATTGGTAATAACAATGTTAAAGAAAATGAGCGTGAGGTATTTCGGTGGTTAGAAATAACAAAATGAAATCGTAAGCAATAACGTTTTCCAAAGCAATCTGGTTAGGCGATTGGCCCACTGGTCCGTGTAAAGTTTTTCTTTAGATTTAATGCTATTGCATTGTTAAAATTTATGCAATGGGCCTCAATTCATTTTACTTTGTTTGGTTATGTTTACTATGATTATGATATAGCAGCTATTTTTAATACAATGCATGAATGTTTGCAGCATTAATTTCTAGATTGTTATGATAAATTGTTATTTTTAACAATAATAAATTTAAATTCAACCATTACTTTATGATAACGGACAATGGAGTTCAACCAGTGCATTAAATGTTAGTAGTGACTTTTAAACAAATAGTAGGTACCTTAGAGGTGATAACAAATAAATATAGAGATAATTCCACTGAAACAAATATAATTTTAAAATGGACCTAATATGCTTTAAGGTATACTTGCTGTAAGGTATACGCGGTGAATCTTTATGTATCTTTCAAGGAGATGGTTTGGTTGGAAAAATAATGAAAGACATGCAGCAAAATTCTTAGTGCTTATTTTTGAAAATAATACAGCCCTTGATTTAAATATTGATCTAATATGACAGACTCTTTGACCATAAAAATTCGCGATATACATTAAATTGTTACAAAACTCAATGGCGACGCTTTTCTTGGCCAAACTACGGAAGTTTTATTTAGAAAAATATTTAATTTAAACCAGAAAATGCGAACTAAACTAAAATTAACAAGCATTACCGCTAAACAGGGAAAAGAGATACTATACGGCCGAATTACGTAAACTACCGCACTGTGCGTACAACACAACACTGCGGCACTTTTCGCCGCGGACGGATTATAAGAAAATGAGACGGACATACTTCTCTGCTAGCCCACCCACATATGATCGATTTTTACCAATTCACAAAGCTAATTTATCACAATAAAGCAGTTCATTCTGTAGATAAAATAATGGTATTCCCACAGGAAGTACACCTACGTTCATTAATCCGACGAAAAAGTACAACTTACCGAGAATAATTTTATGTGTCGACCCGTCTGACAGAGAATAAATTTAGAAACGCTCAAATCCACAAAAAAAAACACTGAACCAGCAAACTGCTTCACCGATTATTATATTTAAATTGCGAAAAACGCTCGGACTATGTCATTTAACGCATAACACGATATGTTTTTTATGTTTTCCCGTGATTTTAGAAGAGAACTAACATCGATCGCGATGCCATGACAGTTCCATTTTTCACTGACGTGAAGTTGGCCGTGTTCGCTCAGCTGACGGACGAGTTTTTTTTCCGGATTGTCAAGCGAAGATAGTCACGGTTCGATGAGGTCAGTAACCTTCTGGGCAATTTTCGCGACAGGTTACTCCGGATGGTCAATTTCGTTTGGAATTTTTATTATTATATAAGTACAATCTTTATTTTAATAATATTTTTCTCCTTGGGAGGTTTTCTTCTACCTATTTCTAAAAGAGATTATGTACTTTTTATGTAAATGTCGTGTGCTCTATGAACAATATCCTCATTAGCCTGCGCACAAAAGACTTAATTTGTCCGCGGATTTTTTTGTCCACCAAAATAGATCGCTTACATCTACATCGAGTAACGCAAACGACGGATTATAAAAAGTCTCCGGAACAACTAAGGACACCGAGAGCGTCTCTCAGAGTAGACAAAAGTACGCGGGAGTCCTTGAAAAAAAAATGGAATTCATGTGAAGGAGCGCAGCAACGCACACAGCGAACTTTAGTCCGGGTTGAGCGTTCGATCCGATAAAAAAAATAGACCCAGCATTCTCTTTTAAAAACGCTGTTTTTTTAAACTTCATGTTAATTCCAACACAGCGTAAGTTGAGAATATTTACTACCATAGTGTGCACTTTCCTGAATTTTCGGGGTACAACACAAATGTTCGCACATCTTTTGCATTATGTCCGTTAAAAATTTTTGGGCGGACATTTTCTTCATGATTCAGTGGCTTTTGTCCACGCACGCCGCATAGCGGACTTTTCCGCCACTACTTTTGTGTGGTGTGTTTTTGTTGATAAGTCAGGGCTCCACGGGTTAGAGGATAGGCTCAGGATAGGCAGAGCGGTGCGAGTAATACTCTTGTATTGTCAGCGACCGCTTACTATAAGGTGGGTCATAACATTATGCCTCATCACACCGACAACATCAACATAGATTTATTATGAGTGAAAATGATGCGGCCAGAGGGCCATATAAAGGCATTAAGGCCTATATTTCATTACCGACCTATATTCTGATTTGATTTAAGATAGATAGGGCACAACGGTTTTTTCACTCGAATTTGAGCGCCCGTCTGGGAAAGAAATCCAAGGGAGCTCGATGGCGCAAGTGGTTAGCGCGTTCGGCTGCGATCGTTGAACTTAAGCAACTTTCGCAGTGGTCGGTCGGTGGGTGACCAAAAATTACTATCTCGAGCTCCTCCGTGCTTCGGAAGGCACGTTAAGCCGTTGGTCCCGGCTGCATCTTCAGTCGTTAGCACCCACCAATCCGCACTGGGCCCGCGTGATGGGTCATGGCACAATCTCCCTATTCCATCCATAGGGAAGGCCTGTGCCCCAGCAGTGGGGACATTAATAGGCTGATGATGATGGGGAAGAAACACAACCCGCTCACAGTAAAATAACACTAACTTTTGAAATTGTTGTATTCATGCTGGTGAGTAGGGTTCCAGGGCTCCGCGGGGTAGGCCGGCAAGGCGTGGAGTGGCACGCTTTCTTCCGCCACTTCGCTACTGGACTCCACTTACACTTCCCATCAGGTGGAGTGGGGTAATTTAATCCGCCTCGTATAAATGAGGGGAGAGGGGTGCATATCTTAAGGGGGCGCCAGGTTTTAAAATACGCCCTACCAGTAATTTTTGCTACCCTCTATCTAACAGACAACACTGGCTACGGCCCTGATTGTCGCGAGAACCATGGCCCGGGGCGGCTGTACGAGCTAGGAGGGGCGGTAGTAGAATTCATTTAAAGTTAAAAGCATATATGCCCCGGGGCGCCTGATTTTAATAAAATACGCTCCTGCCTGCCTTTTATACTCGTTGTAAAGGGAAGATGACAAGTATCTATAAATAGTGGATGTGTTGGTTTAAATGAAAACTTCAAGGATCAAAAAATAAGTATTCATACTATTGCACAAACACTAAAGTACTGTATTGTATTATTTGGCAGAAATCTTTTATATATTTTTCGTATAAACATTCTGGTGATATCGTATATGACTAATTTATTAATAATTAAGATACAGGAAGGTTATTTTATTGATTATTGAAATATTCTAAATATTGGTACTATGCTATTACCTGCCTATCAACAAATTGGTTTGTACTTCTGGGCTTATGTCTGTCAGTACAGGGACTTATTATTAGAATTGTTATATTACCCCCCCCCCCCCTCTAGATTTAGTAAATCAAATCTTAATATAAGTCAGTAAGTAACGAATGCCTTTATATGACTTATGCCGCACCCTCGTAGCCTGCCTACCTTAATAAATTACATAACATTAATAGTTTGTATCTACTTACCATAGCCCACTATGGGTCCAATCAAGCGTAACTCTCCTTGGCGCTACCAACGACATCTTTATTATACTATCTTCGGCCACTATAAAACACTACACTAATAATTCTGTTCACTAATAAAATCAATGTCACATCGGTTCTTCCATTGGTTTTTAATCGACTATTATAAGTGGAGTATTTGATTCATGTGGTTAATTGAACAAGATTCTACTTGAGTATCTTTGGATTATTTGTGAAGCATTTATCTCGTATTTTGTGCTACCTGGAACAAAAAGAAAACAAGAAATAAATATTCTTGTTCTAGAAAATAATATTCAATTGCAAAAGAGACAAAATATGTGAAGCTAGGCTTCTTAACCTCTAAGCTTCTTAAGCTTAAGTGAGAAATAAAAAAATATTCTATTAATCAATAATAAATGAATTATTCTATCTGTTGACTTAATTTACATGCATTTGTATTTTTTTAATATCACCAATCATAATAAATAACGTTTCAATCAATAGTTAAAAGAAATATGGAAACCATTAGTTGACATTAAGAAAGGAATAAATATTTATTTATTAGACTTCCCTTCGTACTGGTATATTTTTATTCTCTGTCGGGATATTATGCCTTGCATCATGTATACTGTAAACTATTTATTATTAATACAATTTTGACCTGACACAACGCGTCGTTCACTAGTGTCAATCACCACATCAAATCTTTGCATGTAACTGGGACACAAAATAGATATTTGGGACGAACTTTCTGTTTATTTCGAATCGCCACTCCCCTCCCGTCTGAATAACTCCTACGCAGCACAAAAATAGGAACATCACAAAAACTACACTGTTTTGTTTCGCGGAAAGACAAAGGAGTTTTTTTTATTGGACGTTTTAAAGCGTTAATGCAAAGGATTAATTAGAATTTTATACTGTTAACAATAAAAAGGGCCAATGCTGTAATGACACACCGGAATAATCTGATTGAAGAAATTAAAGAAAAAGAAAACAAGTCCATTTTTCTTTAGAAAACACTAGCCGTCAAGTTTATATCTCAATTAAGATCATAATTTTGTGAATGGAAGCATCAAAACAGTCCATATCAATTGAAAAAAAGTATTCATAATGGAAGACTTTCTTTCACTTTATTGCTATTGCAAAGATAACAGGCGTTTATTTTTTTCAAGTGAAATCAGAAGTTCTTGCACAATTTTTTATTTTCATCATCACCAGCCTATTAATGTCCCCAGTGGGGACGGGGGAGTTGGTGCTCAGGCCTTTGCTGTGAATGGAATAGGGAGATTGGGCCAGCACGCGGGCCCAATGCGGATTGGCAGGTGCCAACGACTGCAGATGCAGCCGGCTGACTTGCCTTCCGAAGCACGGAGGAATTCGAGATTTTTGGTCACCCATCCAATGTCCGACCACTGCGAAAGTTGCTTAACTTCTACGACCGCTAAGTTGCTTAACACCCGGGCCATCGCGCTCCTGAACTACTTTGAACATTTATGTTTATTAAATTTACTAAGATTCATGATGAAAAATGACCCTCGTGCTTTTTTCTATAAACTATAGAAAAAAGCACGAGTGTAGGCAAAAATTACCAAAATAGTACCTTTTCTTTTCTCTTTTCACATGTTTTTCTCATGAAAGTGCTCCTGAGGGGTTCTCCATTCCTGAGACAAGGCTAGTAAGCTTGAGACGTACCTACAATCAGGGCCGTCCTTGACCTATTGGAGGCCCTGGGCATATTAGGATAATGGGGCCCCTATGACTTTGATGTGGATTTTGACTTGAAATGGAGCGAGTCATACTGATGAGTGTACTATTGACGATTTTTCTTTAAAATGTGTATGTGTTTAGTATACCATTGAAGTCGGAAAACATATTTTTTGGGCGAGAGTAGAATAGCTTCGCTTATGTAAAAGCTAGTAAGTTATGGTAGCCATACACACTACGAGAAATCGTTACGATCAGACTGTACAATTCGAACGGAACAGTTTATCGTACGTGGCGTACGTATAGAAAACTGTGCAGTTTTACAGCATCACGCTACGATTTATCGGTACCGTTCGAACTGTACAGTCTGATCGTAACGATTTCACGTAGTGTGTATGGGTACGGCCAGAGTGCACTCAGATTCAGATTCAGACTCAGAAAACAAGCGAGAGAAATATACAGTGTAGTTTAAGCAGGTTGCCTGCTGCCACTAAGTTAAAGCAGGGTGGCCATAGTGGCAGCAGGCAACCTGCTTAAACTACACTGTATATTTCTCTCGCTTGTTTTCTGAATCTGAATCTGAGTGCACTCTGGCCGTACCCTAAGGGGCTCAAAGTGCCCACTGGGAAAGAGTGGTCTGCCTACAATTCTTCCTCTTTATTATTCTTTTTGTGAATAAAGTGTGATGAAAAAATCTACATGACCATCACTTTACGACAGCTAAGGTAAGTAAGTTTGAGTAACAGGGTAGCTAGGGCCCTGTTTAATGTTTCCGTTGTATATTAATGAATTGCCACTAGTAACAAAATACTTATGTGTTATGTTTGCGGATGATGCCACTATATTCATTCAAAAAGACAAATTTTCAAACCTTGACGATCAAGTACGTGATTCTCTTAATATCGTGATAAAATGGTTGTCAACCCTAAATCTTAAAGTGAATCTAGAAAAGACAAAGATTATGCAATTTAGGAATTACAAAAAGAAATTACATGATATTGACATAGTTATCAATAATAAAAAAATCGAGCAAGCTAATGAGACAAATTTTCTAGGCATTAATATTGACCCCCATCTCAATTGGAAATCACATATAAATAAAATAAATAATAGATTATCTAGTAAATGTTACCTTGTATCAGTATTGACTAATATAACTTCCATTGATGTTGCTCGAAATGCATATTATGGCTATGTCTTTTGACATACGGAATCATATTTTGGGGAAATTCGCTAAATGCTCATTCTACATTTATTTTACAAAAGAGGTGTTTGCGAATTATATATAAAATTGACTCACTTGAATCTGTAAGACCAGTATTTATAAAATATAGATACCTAACATTGACTTGTATATATATATTTGAAATATGTGTGTTTGTAAAAAATCATGACGAATATTTTTGTAAAAAAAAACTGACTAAAGCTGATATACGAGCTCAATATAAAAATGACATGAATACTGCATTATCGACTAGCTATATATTTGACAAAAGCTCTTATATAAGTGGAATTAAAATATTTAACAATTTGCCCAATGACATTAAAGATTTAAATTTATTGGAATTTAAAATTAAATTAAAGAAATGGTTAATAGATAAATGTTTTTATAATTTAAAAGAGTATTTTCGAAATTTTTAATAGCATTTACCACCTATAATGAATATTGTACTTCCGAAACGGACAGCTGCCTAGAACTAAGAAATTACTTGTAACACCATTGTACTCAGCATGACAATAAAGTTTTCTATTCTATTCTATTCTATTCTATTCTGATACCAGGCTGGAAGGGGGAAGCATTGTGAGGCTACTTTAAAACAAGGTTTGCCAGATGGCCGGAAATCCGGGATTGTCTCGGAATTTTGCATCTTGTCCCGTGTCCAGTAATTAGACCTTATTGTCCCGGATTCCGATAATGTGCTAGTCTCGTAACAAAATAAACTAATAACAAATGACACCGCTGGCCAGCTTGATGTTTTAATTCTGGAGGGGTGGTTGGGGGTTTGATTTGATGCTTTATTTTTTCAGGGTGGCGGGTGCATATGTCTGGAAATTGATAAGCCAGCTTCTGGCAACCCTACCTTAAAACGGGGCGGCACGGCAGGCTGCGAAGAGCACGCCCCTGCTTAGGGGGCATTCAAGTATTACGTAACGCATTTGGGAGGGAGGGGGTTCTTGTAAAACGTTACGATGCGTTACAGGGGCAGGAGGGGGGTTCGATCAACGCGGTAAGTAACATTGTTTTTTATTTAAATAAAAAACAAGGGTATTAAAATCTCCTAAGTTGGCAACCCTTTTCATGGTAGTATGCGCAACATATTTGTGACATTTTAGGTAAAAAATGGTCAGCTGGTTGTTACTTGCGTAACGTTTATGGGGGTGGGGGATGGGGGCAGGAAAACGTTACGTCAAAAATATTCAAAATTTGCTTTACGTAATACTTGAACGTCCACTTACTGCTTATTTATGCCCTACCTGTAATTACCACTGCCCTATCTTAAATACAACTCTGACTACGGCCCTGCCTGGTACATACTAGGACAGGAGCTAATAATAATTTGCCTTAATAATAAAATTAGCTGTAGTTTAATCTACGGATCATAAAAATTTACGTTTCGTATCAAACGCCTATTCATTTCGCGTAAACACATAATAAAATGGATTCCCAGAATTAGGTCGGTGACCGGGCAACGGCAAAAACTACTGAGGTGCTACAAAAGTATACAATAATAAGGAAACATATTATTTTATTCACAAACTATTTATCCATTGGCAAAGAAATCATTTTACCTACGGGAACGATCAATTTTTATCTATTTTTGTCATGGTGGCGAACGTTAGGAATATAGCTTGGATTGTTTTCCAACTATTGGAATATGCTTTAACAAAATTCACAGAGCATAGCCAGCGGCAGGGTCATGTCTACAGAACACAGAATAGGGTTAGATGGGTGGTCATAACTCGTTTGTACGGGAACCGATGTCGCCGACTCGCCCCCACTACACTTGCACCTAATAGATAATAGCAAATTAAACGACAAGACAACAAACAATCGAACCAATCAACACTCATACCCGAGAGCAACGGTGCAATCAGAACCAACTTTTGGTCAAGTATGAACATTTGCTTACATATTACTGTGGTGCACCTGCCACGGTTCCCAACTTAGGAGTTTTGTCCCCAGATTTGGGGGCTAGAAGTGTTAAAACGGACTTTTTTAGGGGCTGGAATTTTTTGGGGGTTCTTTTAGGGGCCTTTATCAAAACTTGCAATTAAATCGAAAAATGCAATTAAATCGAAAAACAAAGCGTGTTTTCTTTCAGTTTTGTGCGTAGAATGGAACGCACAACGATATGAAACGACTGAACTGACTGTGTGGCAGGTTGTTTCCTAAGGCTGTATGGACTAAAGTTAAAAAATAGCTAAATAAGATTAAACAGCCTGTCTGCTCATTTTAGTTTGATTGTCCTTTCGGAAACTGTATTTATTCAATAAAATAATTTACTGTAACTAAATATGTAACGTTTTAATTTATGAGCAACGGAAGAATTTGGGTAA